AAGCCCTGCCACTTGCTCCTTCATGGAGGAAGTCATCCTGGTAAGAACACTGATGAGATGCAGCAGAACGTACTCACAGCTGGGCTGCTGGAGGGATGCAGCTAGACCCACCCTGCCTGCCCACACTGTCATCTAGTAGGCTGGGCCTCTTCATACGTGGTGAAAGGAGGGTTGAGGGATAAAGATGGCTGCAAATTCCTTGACACTCTTTCCTTGAAGAGTACATGTGGCTTCCTTCCCCTTGAGTCTGAGCTGGCTGTGACAGCTTTTTTTATTTTATTTTTATTTTTTGAGATGGAGTCTCACTCTGTCACCAGGCTGGAGTGCAGTGGCATGATCTCGGCTCACTGCAACCTCTGCATCCCAGGTTTAAGTGATTCTCCTGCCTCCACCTCCCAAGTAGCTAGGACTACAGGTGCATGCCACCACACCTGGCTTATTTTTGTATTTTTAGTAGAGATGGGGTTTCACCACGTTGGCCAGGCTGGTCTCGATCTCCTGACCTCATGATCTGCCCGCCTCAGCCTCCCAAAGTGTTGGGATTACAGGCATGAGCCACTGCACCTGGCTAACAGTTGTGACTGGTAAATCTATGGCAGAAGTGAAGCTGAGCCTGGCCTTTCCCAGCACTGGAAGCATCTACTCTGGGTCTCATGGAACCTAGAGCTGCCACATAGAAAGCCCTGCTTCCCAGAGGGCTGAAGGGGCCACTTGGAGAGTCTCTGAGACTCCATGGAGGGGGCTGAGCCTCTAGTCATCTTTGCCAAGGTCCCAGGTGTGGAAGCAAAGCCAATTCGAACCTTCTAGACCAGCCCAGACTCTCTGGCTAAAGACCACTCGGTGACCCCTGTCGATGCCACTTGGGCAGATGAACTGACCAGCTGACACTTGCCTGAATTCCTGACCCACATTCTATTATAATAAAATGGTTGTTGTGAAGCCACTAAGCTTGAATAGTTTGTTACACGCAATAGATAGGTGGAAGTACAGAGTGAGGATCTCCCACTAACTGTCTCAAACAAAGGGCCTTAGTCAGCCGGGACTGCTGTAACACCACACGCTGGGTGACTTCAACAACAGACATCTGTTTCTCACAGTTCTGGAGGCTGGAAGGTGCCAGCAGACTTGGTGTCTAGTGAGGGCCCTCTTCCTGGTTTGCAGACGGCGCTTTCTTGCTGTGTCCTCGCACGGGTGGAAAGAGGGTGAGGGAGTTCTCTGAGGTCTCTTTGACAGGAGCACCAAACCCATTCATAAGGCTTCCCCCTCATGACCTAATGACTTCCCAAAGACACCACCTTCAATTGGGCCCTTTAATTAATGCAATACCATCATATTGGGGGGTTCTATTTTAACATGTAAATTTGGGGGTGACATGAACATTCAGTCCATAAGAGGGACCCTGTGTTGGTGGTGCCCTCAAGCACCAAAAATGGTGGAGATCCTTTTCTGCATCACAGGTCTGGCACTTGTCTTCACAATATCACCGCATACAAACCTGAGAGAGCCTGATGAGGCAGCCACGGGACATGTGGAATCGATCCTGATTCCCATGTCGCTGGACAGGAACTGTATTGTGGGCAGAAAGTACTCTTGGTTTGCCCCCGAGAAACCCAGTCAATGACTCAGGGCTAAACTCCTTCAAGATCTGGACCTAAGCCTTATTTCCCAGCCGTGGCGGTAGCTTGGAAACACCTGAAGAGCTTTTAGAAAATGTTGTCTGGGCCCCACTCTCTGAGGCCTGAGCATTGAGATTTCTTTAAGCTCCCCAGGCGGTGGCGTGGGGGAAGGTTCTCCATAGAGCCACATCAAGGATCAGTTCATCTGTTCTGTGTGGGCTACCTTAAAAATACGTCCAACATACAGCATTGGAGGGTAAGGCAGCAAAACAGAATATCAGGATCTCATTTGTATGAAAATGTTAAAAAGAGAGTGTATGTATATGGATAAAAATTATGCAAAGCAAACTAGAAAATCTTAGTTGGTACCTGGGGTAGGGGGGTTGTGGAAGGAAGTGCTGTTTTGTGCTGTTATTAATTCCATTTGTTATTTCATCAGTGAGTTTTAAATTGCAGCTGTGGTGTGGTGCATCAGTAGCTTCCTGGAATCCCAGGGTAGTGCACCTTGGTCAGTCCCACCCACCCCAGCCATGCTACCATCCAATGGGCTTTGGCTTTATACATGACTCCCCCCATCTAGCCTGTGCCTAAGGACTTAGAAGCTGAAAGGGGTATAAGCAGACAGCACCTGATCTCAGACACTGGCCTCTAGGGCTGGCAGGGCAGAGTGAAGTAGCTCTGTGTGGCTTACTGGGCACTGGGCACACACCGGGAGCTGAAGCTGGGCAGGAGGACGGGCAGCAGGTGGTCTTCCAGGTGTAACCGAGGCCACTGTCAGAATATGGGCAGGGGCTGTTTGTGTGTAAATCAGTTGTACCAAACCAGCTATGTGTTTGGTGGTCAGAGAGGTCCAGTACCTCCTAACTCAGCCAGGCGATCTACAATCCTTGCAAACCTCATTCATCCTTAGTAATACAAGATGGCACTGCTCATTGGTCGGGAGGGGGCTGAGATAATGAGGACCAGCTCATATAGAATGTGAAGGCTGGCTATACACAAATGAGAGATTATAGGGGTCAAGCACTGCTTACCTCTGCGATTAACAGGGTCCTTAGCCACATATGCAACATAGTCAGTTGTGTCCTGTTAAAGAAAAAAGATGCCTATATCACTAATCACAAGTGACAGAACACACAGTGAGGGACACAGAGCACAAACCAGTGAGCTTAGAAGGACTCAACCACCAAACAGCTAAAGTATCAAATGCTGCCTAAGAAACAGCCCACAGAAGACTCAAACTATATAATGTGGGTAGCAACCACCCAGAGGGCTCACATTGTAGACTCTGACTCAGCAAGTCTGGGGTAGGGTCTGAGGTCCTGCACTTCTAACCAGTTTCCATGTATACTGAGGCCGCAGTGTCTCAGTATCCCACGGGAGCTGGTTAGAAGTCCATTCACACTTTGAGCAGCAAGGAGAAAAGGCATGTTGGATCACTCGAGAAGCTTTAAAAACATTGATACCTGCGTCCCAACGTGCACACAATCCGATTTAATTGGTTTGGATGTGAGGCCTGCGCGTTAGTTTTTAGATGCTCCCTAGATGACTGTAACGTGAACCACAAGTTAAGAACCACTGCTCTCAGCTTTGTCTACACCAGTGGTTGTCCAATTTGAGCTGGTATCAGAATCCCCTGCAGGGCTTGTTAAAATAGAACGCTGAGCCATACCCCTGAGTTTCCAATTCGGTAGTAGTTCTGGGGTAAGGGCTCAAAATTTGCATTTCTGACAAGTTTCTAGCTGCTGTGGCTCTGGGGGCCACACTTTGAGAACTGCTAGGCTAGAAGAAAACCAGAGTGGATGTTCAAAGGCTGACTGCAAATGCTGCCTTCATGGTGGATGAGATATAATGGTTATTTTCTTCTTGGATATAAATAATGATCTTAATACTTTAATATGTTTTAAAAATATGAGCTCTACTGAGAAGACTCATCCTTCTGTATGAAATGTGAGTTTCTTTGCCTGCCTTCTCACGTAATCAGTGCACAGGGGAAATGACAACCTCAAAAGTAGACCAAGGCAACCATGTGCATTTTAATTCATAAACAAATAAGCAGAGGAACCAGTAATTATCTTAACTCTTGAAAGCAGAAAAGACTCCTCTGCAAAGCTGATATTTTCAACATTCAAGACTCCGTGGGGCAACTGGTAAAAGTCTACCCCATTTTGGCAGACATTTCCCATATGTTACTGCTTTGAAGGGCTTCACCAGCTTATTGATACACTCCCGATGTTGCCAGTACCTAAAGGCTCTGTTGTGACTTGCTCCACTGTTTTCTCTATGGGCAAAGGAGACATCCCCTTCTCTCTCAACAGTGCCCTACAAAAGCTCTCCAAGGAGAGAGGGATGAGGGAGAGAGTGAGTATGGGGCGGCCATGTCACTGTTGTGGGACATCTGCTGTAGGATCAGGTGGGTGGTGCTGGGCACTTCTCCACACCCCATCTCGCTGGATCTTACACAGTCCAGCAAGACCACACCAGTGTAGAATTCTTCCAGCAGCTCTTGAGATAATGGTGCTGTTTCCCCCGTCATTCCGCAGGGTGTGGCTCAGCTAAGTTGTTTTCTTTTCTGCTCAGGACACTGTTCCCTGGTGTATTCACAGGCTGACTAGGGAAGGGAAGTGAAAGATTGTCCACCTGGTCAAACTGGCTTCTGGTCATTTCCATCAAGGGGCATGTGGTCAGAATCTGAAGTTATTGGCAAAAACAAGGACGACAGCTTGTAATCACAGACATTTCCTGAACTCACGAGACGTGAATGTCAGAAGGATCCTTAGAGAGCATCTAAGAGAGCACCAGGGTTTCTCAAGCTGAAATCCACGGAACCCTAGGGTTGGACAGGTGCCTTCTCCAGTGTTTGAGATGTCACCAGCATTTAAAAAAAAATTTTATTTTCATTTCCACGAGTATCTTAAAAATTAATACAAGAGTATCTGGGATCATTTAGATGACCACTGTGTTATCAAGTTCTGCATACGATCTCAATGCCAGGATTTGCATCTGGGTTTCCAACATTATGAGTGCTAGGTTTTCAAAGAATTAGAAAGAAAAGGACACAGGGTAGATTCCTCTGCCCACATAAAGCAAATTGACATTACATTTGTACATGATGTACAACTGAAGTTTTTCCTTGAATAGAAGAAATTAGTGGAAGAATTGAGTCATCCAGGTGCCTATGGTAATGGAGAGACATTGAACTGAAAAAATTCTGCCCCATGGTGGCCAGGCCAGCATCACATTGAGAATGGAGATTTAGTTTCAGCGAACTTTGTCCATCATAGCAAAGCAGTATTACATTGAATGTCATTGGCCCTACAATGTTTACTTGTATTTGACTTTCAAATTTAAGTAGGGGTTAGAGTTAACTAAAAAGTATAAACATAAGAAGTTTATTTTTAATTTATTTTTGCACATATTCAGGTAACAAAATTAGAGTCAGCATTAGTAATGAATACAAGGAATTTCTTTTGCATTGTTACTCTGGCTCAAAGTTGGGTAAAGAGGGAGAATAGAGAGACATAATATGTCCCTGTCTCTCAGATGGTCAATGGCCAAGCTTTTCTGATGCCAGTATTGATCCTTTTCTGGCAGAACAGGCAAATACATTACCATTCAAAACAATGTTCTTGTCATCAGGAAGCATACTAAGTTCCAAAGACAGAGCTGCAAAGTGCTGTTCTGCATTTATTCTATCCCTGTTCCCACTCCCCAAGAACCCTGAGCCTGGCCATTGTTCTGCCATTCTTGGGGTGGTCTTTTAACACTGCTAATTACAGTAGATTATAATTACAGCATACCCTTTTTAGAGGGGAATTAATGAAGTTTTCTAGTCTATCTTGCTTGCTAGTTCAAAATACCATTTTCCTAATGGGTAAACTGAGGCACTAAGTCATAAGTGACATGTACACTTAGCAGGAGAACAAGGACTAGAACATAGAATTGTCAGCTTTATTAAAAATGTCTAACAATTATAACGTGCTAAATTCATGGTTACAAATCAATTTGGAATGTAATCTCATGCACAATATAAAATGCATTTGGATTGGTTAAAATGGAAAGTAACTAGGCTTCCTGTCCTGTGTTATGACATTTTATAAACCAGAAAAAAGAAATCACAGAAAATATAACAGGTTGTGGATTACTTTAAGGATTACTAAATGTTTCTAATTTTTTTTTAAAAAATAAGAGATGATAAGGAAATCTGAAAAAAAAAAAGTATAGTCCTATGTGCATCCTGAAAATAAAATAGTTTTGACACAAACCAATGTAATTGGCTCCCAACGATCTAGATATGTGTTTTCACTTATAATATCAACATTAAGACAGGTTTAAGGCGAGTTCTTGAAGGAAGCTGTTAATGCAGATGTACAAGACATCTGCCTTTTATATGTCAAAACTGGGTTATCCTCCAAATTTAAGAAACTATGGTTCCAAACATCACAAGGGGCAAGGAATTAGAAAACCACTGCAAATTAGGTAGGAAATAGGTGGACATATACATATAGACAGCATCTGAAGAAATGCACCTTAGGCCAGGTGCAGTGGCTCATACCTGTAATCCCAGCACTTTGGGAGGCCAAGACAGGTGGATTACTTAAGCCCAGGGTTTGAGACCAGCCTGGGCAACATGGTGAAACCCTGTCTCTACTAAAAATACAAAAAAACTAGCCAGGCATGGTGGTGCGTGCCTGTAGTCTCAGCTACCTATGAGGCTGAAGTGGGAGGATCACTTGGACCCGGGAGGTCAAGACTGCAGTAAGCTGTGATGGCGCCACTGCATTCCAGCCTGGGCGACAGAGTAAGACCCTATTGGATGAGTTCAATTGGGGAAGACTTCCACTTTCTGAATATGCATCTCAATGAGGACTTTCATCTTAAAATAAAATGTAAGAAATGATAAGGATTAGAGAGAAAGGAAGTGTGTGTGTGGATTCCACTCTGTCCCGGGAGCGGGAGGTGGTTTTCTGAGTTCACCTTCATGACAGTACAGTTCAGATGACATGGCCACTCTGAAGCTGAATGCTGACATCCTTTGTAGCATTCCTGCCCAAATGTGGGAAGCAAATTCCCTTGTTATTCCGCCTTCTTCATTAAAGATGTGAAGCAAAAATAGAACATTCTCATTCTGTTCTCAAGTCTCCCTCTTACTCTCTCTGTCTCTGCAACTCCTTCCTTGTTGGCAAAGCAAACTATTAAAGGCTGCAGTATTACACTAGGAGAGAAAAACGCTGATTTTAAATGCTTATGAACAGAGCAGACTAAGTAAATTTACATTCTTCAGGCAGACTTAAAATATTAATATGGAGGTCAGATAAAAAAAACAAAAAGTAGGGCAAGAGCAGAGTGACAGCGTGAGAAGCCCACGGCAGCTCTGGGGCCGGGGGAACTATTTCATCACCTCGTAAGAATGCCAGTGCTTCCAGGATTTTGACAGCTTTTGGCTAATGAAATGAAAACTAATGGTGGGGTTCTTGTCACAGGTTTTCCCTAAAAAGAAAATGATGGCCAAGAAGACCTTTTAGGGAAATCAGGAGGGGGAAATCTGCTGGCATCACAATTCACTTTTTTTACGGTGTCTTGCAAGGCGTATTTTTGAAGCAGGGGTCCCTTCTCAGAAATTCCCAACAAGAGCAAGAGACCAACCCCAAGGGCACTTACCGGGTCTCCCCCAGAGGCGAAGGAGATGGACCGCATGTGGTGATTCGCTATGATCTGCCAGGCCCAAAACAAGAAACGAGATGTGCTGTTATTGCGCTTTCCACATTTTGGAAAAGCAACTGTCTGTTGGCAGGCATTACAAATTGACATGTTTTCCTGAAAATTGGTACCTATATAAAAATAATGATTATAAAAGTAATAGTAATAGATCATCTTTCACAATCTGATGACTGCTGTCCAGCTGCTTTGCCAGAATAGCATCCGTGAAGCCTCGCTGCAGCCTGTGGCATGGGAACTATCACCATCCCACTTTACAGGTGAGGAGCCAGAACCCAGAGGGGTCAAGTGGCTTGCTCAAATTAAGACAGCTGGTGATTAGCAGAGCTGTGATCTAACACAGGGCGTGCATAGAGCACCCTTAACATAAGTGACTCCATCTTAGAAAAAGACTCCATCTTACATTTCAAGAAGCAACATGCCAACAGGTACCAGATGTTTGCCTAATGAATAAAGATAGCACCCAACAAGATAAGGACATAAAAAGGTATATTCTTTTACTATCAGTCCTTACCAGAGGACTCTGGTCATAAAAAGCAGGACTTCACCAGCTTGAAACAGCCTTCTTAACAGACACCGTCTTGCTGTCACTGGTGATGAGCAGCCAGCATCTGCCAATGAAGGCTCTGCCCACATCAGACTCTTCCTTGCAAGACATGTTGTCCATCTGGATCAAGCCAGGACACTCTCTTTGTCCACGTCACTTGCCCCAGAATGGTTTATTAACCCCTACTCCTATCTCTTTTTCTCTTGATGTTAAATGTTACTTGGTTTGCTGTGGAATGTCAATCTGTAACATTTATATACTGATTAAGTATACTCTTAAGTATGGTTTGCAATATTGACTGACCTGGGGAGTGGCTTCAGCCTATGTGCCCACAGCTCTGATATGGAATGAACTCCATGTAGCTCATGGTTTTTATTACTAAAATAGCTTCAGTGAAAGTCTGACCTTGTGGAAAGACACAAATGTGTGTGGGTCTGGTTATGTCTGACCTTGAGTCGCTTATGACAGGGAGGCCCACCCCGAGGCTAGGGTCTTAACAACCATGCCTCTTCCAGAAGGAACCTGCCTCACCCACACCCCAAAATATCTCAACTTACAGACTATGTTTCCAAAAACACACTGGGGTCTCCGACACAGAACCCACAGCTAGAATGGGGGGAAATGTGGCCCGTCTTCCATTTTATCCCATTTGTATCATGTGCATATAAATTAGAAAGCCAGCGTCCGAGATTTCACCTCGGCACTGTCCAAAGCACTCTTGTAATTTATCAATGTGAAATCCAGAGCAGACAATCCGTGTTAATTTTAAAATGGGAAATTTCCATTAGCTTTATAAACTGCAGCGTACAGTGGAATTTAGTAGACACTGAGTAAATTAGAAGCTGCCCTAAATTTAAAAAGCGACATAAGTCTTCCACGCTAATTTTATCTTTTAAAAGACAATGTAATGACATTGAAGTAAATTTCTGGGGATGGGAACAGAGCTCATCTCTATCCCAACATAACCAAGCTCAGTTCTGCAGAGTCCCCTTGGGCCCCTGTCCTCGGGCAGGCAGTCAGAATTTACATGGCTATAATCACACTTCCCAGGGATTTGTCTAAACATGCTCCTGTGAAACTTGAAATAAAATATAATTGAATTATAATAGAAAATAAGACAGTTTTAAATGCCTACTTTGGTTATTGGCACTTACAACACCTCAGGATCTAGAAACCCCTGAGTACATAAGTGAAAAGAAAATGAAGCTGGCTACATAGGCTGCACCCAAGCCCCAGCTGAGTTAAACTAAAAATAGTGGCCTTTGCAGCTCTCTGGAATCTTCCCTCTGGCGCAAAGGTAGAGGGCTCCTAAGAAAACAATGACAAAATAGGAATCACCAGAAAATGATAAACTATGGCTCCCAAAGTTTTACATTTTTGCTTATTTAATTTTTGCTTATAAGGCAGGTCTAAAACTGAAGTTTGGAAATTAAATTGGAAGCTATGATTTGGGAAAAAAAATGAAAGTCATGTTTGATCGACATGATGCATGAGCCTTATTCTGTGGTTGTATGTTATGTCTTTGAGTAAGACAGAAATTGAAAACCAGGGTAAGAAAATTAGAGCTAATTGACCTAAATCACATGTTTCGCCCTGAGGGTGTTGCGTCTCATTTCCACCTGGAACTCTGTAGAGGGGAGCGGCTGTTGTCTTGCTGCTGTCTCATCGGATGGAGAAAGGAGTGTCTAGCCAGGCTGTTCTCAGTTTGCTACAGCTGGGCTCAGAAGTCAGCTGGAAGGGAGAGTGAGAACCCAGTGTGCTTGCCCCCCACCCAAGCTTCACACACTCATCAACCAAACTACCAGTCCCCTGGGTGTCCAGAACCTGCCACTTTGCCCCATCCGCCCAAACCAAGGGCAGGAAAACATGAACTGGATACCCGCTTCAGCTGCCATGTTCCAGGACAGAGAGGGCCAGCCCAGTCTCATTCCACTGCTCGTAGTTTGTTTTCTGTTTTACTGAGGTGGGAGGGGAGTTCAGGGAGAAGTTCCCACAGATTTAAGGAGTCTGAGGACCAAACAAAAGGTCCAGGAGACATAGGAAAGGAACAGCTCTGGGCATGAAGGAGAATGCAGAGGTGAGCCCAGCCCACAAGCCTTCATGAACAGCTCAGCCTCAGGCCGTGCCAGAGAAAGGCTGAGCCTGATGAATATTCAGAATCCACAATCTCCAGTGCTAGTGAACTAGTCCCTTAGACAAGTTAAGATAAAAAGACACAAGGAATTATCTATCAGTCCTGTGAGGACAACAGGAGGCAGTGAGAAGTGGTATCTAGTTATGTCAACACAAAGCCTGGGTTTTGCTTCCCATTTCTGTGCTAGATCTAGGATTTATTTCAACATCTTGGGTAGCAGGTGGAGGAATAAACGAAGCTGGAGATGCTGCTCACTAACCTGGGGAATATGGAAGTCAATCAATAGAAATATGTATAGTAACATAAAGGTCACTGCGGCATCCCTGGTGACAATGTTGGAATCAGGTATAGTATTATATAGAGAGGTCCCATCCGAGCTCCAGCTCCTACTGCCAGCCCCAAAAGCTGAGCCAGAGCAGAGCAAGGAAGGGGAGTCCACACTCCACACCCCCTGGATACTGGTCAGACATTTCACCTGTGCCTCATTTGACCTTCAGAAGTGCCTTGTTGGTAGCTAAAATAGCTACTCAAACACCCATTTTTCCAGCTAAACAAATTAATGATGACTAGATCAGAGAAATCTAAAAGATAGACACTGTGCAGGAATGCAACCATCCTCAATAAAATTAGCCTTAATTAACACTGTGGCTGTGGTGTCTCAGTCAGCTCCAAATTCATTCCACACTGGCTATTCCATAGACAACACCACTTCTCATTACCCCTACAACAGTATGTACTACAGGATGCTCCAAAACAATGAGCCACTAAAGGAAAAAAAAAAAAATCACCAATTAGACCATTACATGCCATCCACTTCAAAGGTAATAAAATAAAATATAGCCTGTAAAACCAATTAAATATGGTGTAAAAGAAAAAATAAGGATAAGGACATTAAGAAGAGACTTTGCACACACATCTGTTTTTTTGTTTGTTTGTTTTTTACATTGCATGTAAACAAATGATTTCACGCATTATCCTCCAAAGAAATAAAAAGCAGAATTAAAGAGAGCCGATTTCATTTATCATTCTCTTGGTGATCCTTCAAAGTGGCCAAAGTTCATACTCTAGTAAAACTTTGACACAAACATATGCTATGTGAGCTCAGTAAAGCTGCAAGGAAGACGCCTGCAAACACTCTTCAGCTGGGGCTGTGGGCAGGAACAGGGGATCTGAGCACCCATGTACCTGTTTGGAGTCCGGAGTTCGCAGGTTCAGACTGGCCGTGGAGATGGTCAGAGAGATGCTCATTCCCGCAAACTGGAGGTTGCTCTTTCCCAAGATGCTGGACAGCATTTTGCTCGGAGGCTGTGAAATTGAAGAGCATTATTTTAGCTGTTTCATTTCCATCTCAAAGGGTGGGGAAGTAGATGCTTGCCATACCCCCAAACTCTCACTGATTGTTCCTTCCTCCTTAGGCATAGGAAGACCAAATGTGAAACGAATAAGCTGGGAGTCGGGGGTCCAAAGTTAATATGCAGATTTTAGAACATGCAACATGCAAATTATAAAGCATGTAATATGCAAATGCTGAGGTGAGAACTCCTGCAGGCAGGCAGAGGCATCAGTCTTCCAGGCCTTTTCCCGGCCCTGTTGGGAAGTGTCTCATGGGGAAGCCCTTGTGTATAAACCTGGGGAAAGCCCATTGCATTTTGCAGGCTCAGCAACCTGGTATCATCACACCTACTTCAGAGGAAGAGTCAAACTAACTTAGAGGAAGACTAAAGCAGGCCAGCTCTAGGGGATTACAAGAATCCCAGAGAGCTGCAAGGATGTTTGTGGCCGAAGGGAATGGACCACAAATTTTTTGGCGCACTCTCCCTGGTCAAGGTTCTCATGAACTGCCCTGTTAGAAACCCATGGGCCTAGAACCAGCACAAGGATAGACAGACATGGCCTGGCTGTAACTGGTGCATCCATTACCCTGTCAGAAATGTCCTTACAGGGACTGACAGCTGTATTTTGGGGCCAGGGACCTTTTTCCTGGGTACCTGGGTGGGCAAGGCCCTTTGGTACCAACCCATCCTTTCTTTTTGGATTAGAACACTTTCTCTTTTGATATGCTAATTAGTTCCTAACCAGGTGCACACCCTTTTTAATCTCCTGAAGGAGCTATTTAAAATCAGAGATGCTGAGGCCCCACCCATGAGATTCTGGGTAGAGCCAAGAAATGGGCATTGTTTCCACCAAGAGAACCATGAGGGTGCCCCAGGATGAGCTGGGACCTGGAAGATGAGATTCCACTTCTCCGTTCTCAGTCGCTGTCCTAGTTCCTGTAGTGGAGACTCTGGAGCCTTGCTTGGTTCCCCATGGACTGGCCAGAACACAGGCTGGCACATCTGAATCTTCATTCAGAGTTCTCTGCCGGAAACCCAGCTGCCCTGTGGATGCATGAAAGTCCCCAAGACCTGAAGACAGAAACAAGCTTGAGCCTGGGATCAGCAGAGCCACACACGCAGCTGTCCAGATGATCCGGATCAGGAACGGGCAGCCTCGGGGCAGATTCAGAGGTTCTTTGAAGGACATTTTTGCCACAATTCAGGTTAGGCATAGAAAAGCCTTGATTGTGGATTTTGCTGGGTCTTCACTAGACACTTAACTGAAGAGGTTTTCATGGTTTCTCCTAATCCAGGCTTTTTATTTTCCTTCTGGCTCAAATATCTTCAGGATGAAAAGTACTAGTGCAGTGTTTGAACACGCAGCCTGTGGAGCCCAGACCTCTGAGCTTGCTCTCAGACAACATCTACCCACACTGCAGCCTTTCCCCTCCGTGCCACAGTTGTGGTTGTCTGTAATATGGGGATATCCAGTGGTATTCTACTGCTGGCTTGGCTCAGCTGATGGGAGCCAATTATTAAATTTTTCAGAATTTTATAATCTGACGATTAATCACAGTTGTATTAAAAATGAATGTATGTAAACTTACAGTTAAATAAATTACCTTTAAAAAAAAACAGATGACAGGGCCGGGCATGGTGGCTCACGCCTGTAATCCCAACACTTTGGGAGGCCGAGGCAGGTGGATCACAAGGTCAAGAGATTGAGACCATCCTGGCCAATATGGTCAAACCCCATCTCTACTAAAAACACAAAAATTAGCTGGGCAGGTGGCGTGCACCTGTAATCCCAGCTATTTGGGAGGCTGAGCCAGGAGAATCGCTTGACCCAGGAGGCAGAGATTTCAGTGAGCCAAGATCATGCCACTGCACTCCAGCCTGGGGGATAGAGCGAGACTCTGTCTCAAAAACAAACAAAAAAACAAAAAAAACAATAAATGCTCAACACGCATCACTTCCTAATTCTTTTGCTGCATTAACTACTAACTGCTTTCCAAGTTATTGATGCCCACGGTACTTGTATGGTGGAAACATTATGTAACCATGAGCTACCATGTATCTCTTCCCGACTCTGTCTTTGAGGGATATCATTTGGAGAAATTGAATTCAGCCACAGTAGAAGTACTGGCATCACAGAAATCAGAAAATGCTACAAACTCTACTTTTCATTCCCCTGCCCAACCTGGAGAGCTGGTTGTTAAACACTTACCAGCACACCACTGGGGATATCTACCTCAGTTGTTGTAATTAAGTGAATTGATGTATTCAAAGTGCTTAAAGGAAAGCCTGACCCTGTTTTAAGTGTCTGTTGTTATCACTGTCTTCAGAGTTTACGTCACAGTGAGTGAGTAGCCAGGGTGTCTACTTCCGAGACAGGGACAGCTAACCGTCCTCAACCACATGAGACAGAAAGCAATCTAAGCCCTTTCTGCTTTTAGAAGTAGCAAGCGCCAGGCCCCAGAAAGAGGACAATGAATAATTCTGTGTGACTGAAGATACCGAGTGGCGAAAAAGAGGAAGCAAAGGAGGAGACACAGTTAGACACAGAGCATTGAGGACAGTACCTTTCTCTTCTTGAAGGCTCCCTTGGCACCAGGGACAGCTTCACAGACACGGCTGATGGCTTCCCTTAGGACAGGAAGAAAAAGCCATTTTATCATGTGTTGGTCAGGATTATGGAACCCAGAGATGCTACACTTGCACATCCAAAGAAAATAACTGCCCGTTTATTTCAGTATAGAAAAGAGACCTGCCAATTTGGAAGTCATCCAACTCTTCTTCTAAAACACAAAACTAAACAAAATGCAAACAGGTCATCATAAAGCCTCTCCTGGCAATATTCTAGTTCTCTTTGTTGTAGTGGCTGGATGCTAACAGTGTCATCTGTGTCAATGCTACACTTTTTTTTTTTTTTTTTTTTTACATTTTGCTAAGATTCTATTTTTGTAAGTCAGCACCCTAAAACACACTCTTCCCGACACCGTGATGCTGTCGGTCTCCATGACTTTGGTCAGGACATCAGGCCCAAACCTAGTCAACCACCTCGGTTGATCAAGATCCTTCTTAAGTGAGTTAGAATGTAATTAAAAGAAACGTGGTCATCTGAGTTTTATTCACAGTTTCTGTGGTTAGTGAATCTCACAAAATCAAGAGGGGTTGGAAGGAGAAGAGGAACTGCAGGGTGTATAAAGGAGCCAGCAGTGAGGTGATGTGCAGGGCAGTTCCATGGAACAGCACTGGTGAGGCTGCTGGGACGTGCAGGCATGGTCCTGGTGGAGGAGGCAGAGTGCCCTGGTACTGAGTGGCCAGGGGGCATGAGTCCAACACACGGTTCTGCATGGGGGCAGGAGGGTCCCAGAGGGAGAGGAAGCAAGACAGGATTGTCGCAGCTGAGGGCTAGGGTGGCAGGAAGGGGATGCTGGAGAGGAAACAGTGCAATCTCATGACCCAGCCTAAGTGAGAAATGCCTGGGAGGTGGGCAAAGGTGGCTCCAAGTCAGGGGTCCAGAAAAGAGCTAGTGACCCTTCCCACTCACACATGGAAGGGAAAATACTAGTACATAGAAAAAATCACAGGGACTTGGAGACACAGTGAATGACAGAAGATAACAGGTCCTCAGAAACATTCTATAAACTTTCTAGGTTCAATACTTCTTCAAATTAATTTCTACCATGTGGACGAAAAATAATCACCATAACGACACAGTGCTTTTAACAGAAATATGTCCATATCAGTTAGGTGACTGACTGTTAGGACAAGCTTCCCATTTGCCACTCAATTCATTATAGAGAGCAGGGAAGGAAACATTTTTCCTAAAACTCAGATGCCAGGAAAACCGTAGGCAATGAATCATCATGACATGGAAAAAGTGAAGCAAGAAACAAATGTTTTTGATGTTTATGCTTACTTCTATTCATTTTATAATAATATTCTAACTGTGGTTCTATCAAAGTGACCAATCACGTATCATCTAAAGTACTTTCTAAAAGCTAACTTCTTATTAAAGAAGGTCAAATTGTCTCTTTACAGACCTATATAAACCTATTATGTATATTTTATCTGTTGAATTCTTAGAAAACTAGTTCAGTGAATCTCTGCGTTGTATTTCTTACATTAAAGAGACGTACTTAGTTGAGCAAGGCAGCTAAACCTCTGATGGTTCCAGCAGGGTAGAAAGATATTATATGGGGAAGTGTCTCCCTTTAATCAGTCCATAAATATTCCTAATAAGCACCGTATTTATGTTACCATCCACCGACATGGAGTCTAAAAGAAAAAAATCAGACTCCAAGGACAGTTATCCAAAAAGACACACGGTTCCAAATGTCTCATTTAGTCAGCCCCTGGAGCTTGCAACAGGACCCTGCTGCTTCTGTGCTACTTTGGGGGATGGGAGGTAGAAACTGTTCATCACCAGTTAGAAGGAATTACAAAGCTCTGAAAATAGTTAACATTTCTTTCCAATACCTTTTCACACAGAACGCAGTGCACAGGTCTCAGCGCACATTTGCAGATAGAAGAAGTTCCAAACATTTCTCAGAGCTCGTGTCCTCAGGGAAAATCCTAAGGATCCCACTTGTGAGCCTTTAGAATCCCCAAAGGAGTTTTCAAATGAAACTGCTTTTTAGAAAAATGTTCTCTTTTCATCACTGGCATAAATTCCTTTCTAATGCTCATACGATAACACGCGTGTGTGAATTCTCATTTCAACCACGCTGATGGTATCTATTTCTGTTTGAAATAGAAATGCAGCATAACTATTAATAACTGCAATATTTAGATGCCTGGAATGAGTTACTTTAACTCCAAAATCTAATTTTAAATGTAACTATTCTCAATTCCCCTTCTCGCTGTTTAAGTGCAGGACATTTTGGTAAGCAGTACTGTTTCAATTTGTTCGTTTAGCAATCATTATTCAGCTTTATGTAATTCCACTTAATCCCCATTTGAGTCTCAGGTACCAATTTTGCCCTGTTTTTAATCATAGGGATTGCTTCTTAACATTCTGTTCAGTATGACCTTCTTTCTGTGAGCCAAATAATGACCTCAGAACTCGGCTAATATGAAAATGGGACATTTGGCAACCTCCGTGGTCATCTGAAAGTCTCGGAAGCCAGCCCAACCGCCAGATGTGAAACCTCATTGTCGTCATGATTTCACCATCTTCCCTTCAGAACTGGACTCTTTGAAATCATGTAGTAACATCTTTCTCCCTCCTCATCCATCTCACTACAGCCCATCCCGAGGCCCCACAAAGAATGGTCTATGTGACTGGCATGGATCAACGCACATCAGCAGAGAAAGAGTTACCCAAGAAGCAGCATTTCAGTGAGTGGACAGCTACCCAGAAAAAAATTATGTTGGGCTCCTATCTCTTGCCTTATATGCAAATAAATTATAGCTGGGTCACAAATTGAATTCATTTGTAATGAAACGATGATAGTAGTAAAAGAAAACTGGGAAGAATATTTTAAAATTATCTTTTAGTGGACAGATGTTACAAAATCCAGAAGCCATAACAGAAAAATATTGACACACTCAATAGTGTAAAAAAAATTATGGACAAGAAAATATGTTACATTTCACAGTCAACAAAGTAATTGTCTTAATAAAAGTCAGCAAGGACACTAACAAAAGCCCAATAGAGGGCAGAGCAAAGGATATGGATAAAGAGTTCTCAGGAAAGGCAATATGCATGGCTCCGAAAAACACAAAAATATACTCAACTTTAATCATAACCGGAATGTAGATTAAAGCCTGCACTGAAATTCTATTTTCATAGCCAAAGATTGAAGCTTTACAGTCCTTTGCAGGGAAGCAGGCACCCTTCTCAGTGCTCTGTAATATCCTCCCACCTCCATACCCTGTGTGAGTTTCTTGCCTCCTCTAAGAACCCTGAAACTCCAAAGTTCCAGCCTCTAAACCTCCCCCTGCTCATCTCCTCTTCTGGCCACTGTGTGACCAGGACCCTGAGTGAGTGTGTGCTGGTACAATAAGACTATCCCACTCCCTTAGTCCTTTCTAATTCAGTGCACTCAGTGGGCCCTGCTCCTTGCTGGGCTGGACGGAGCCTTGAATCTAATCCACTCGCCTCCACACAAGAAAAAGTCTTCCATCACTTACGTGTAACCCCATTTATCTATTTTTAGTAATAAACATGTCCAGGCCCAGCAGAACAGTAAAAACCCTGACCTTCATTTAAACCTCTCTTCCTCCCTCCCTAAGGCCTACCTAGGGAACCTCCAGGTGACCACGTAAGAAAAGGCCTCCTAACCTTCCAGCTGTAGCTCCTGACCCCTTGGTGAGGTAGGGATGACTGCAGGGGGTGGATACAGAGAGGTCAGGGATGGAGAGGTGACACTGACAGCCCCAGTGCTGAGCCCTCTGGCCAGGCTGGTAGTACCTTGCAGGGAAACAGGCGACCCCCTTGGTGCTCCTGGATGTCCTCCCGCCCCCATGCCCTGTGTAAGTTACTTGTCTCCTTTGAGACTAAATCTCCAGCCTCTAAGCCATGGCGAGCACCTCCCCTCCAGGGCTCCACACAACCCCTCTCCTCTCAGGGACACTTTCCTTTTTTTATTTGAAGACTCCTCCCCAGGAGCAGGGAGGTGCCCATGGGTGAGATGGACAGTGTCTGATCTTCACCCCACATACCCACTCCCTCCCAGCATCCACACCAGTGGGGAGCTCCAGCTTCTTGCTGGTGACATTGCTCCTGTCATCAGCAGAAAGCCGACTGGGCCACATGGGTACCCATCTCTGGAACCAGCACCTTTGCCGGGCTATAGCAGGAGGGCAGTTTCTCCTCAAACACAGCCACTCCTGCTGCATGCTTCTCTGTGTGAGTCAGACATCAGTCCATGGGGCCACCCAGGCCCTGGTGACATGTGTCAAAGTCTTGGTCATCTCCTAAGCCCCTCATTGACTCTGAAGCCAGAAGAACCATTGCCCCTCCTCCATGGGAGGACTGACAGGGCACTAAGGACTTGCTGTTTTCGCTATATAACTTTGGGGTGAGGGTTGGGCAAAGTACAGCAAAATAGATTATCACTCCTCTTTCCAAGCCCTTTGTAGGAGGGCCAGCCCTCCCTTGAACTGTTGGTGTCAACCTATGCCCCATGGACTCCAGGCAAACTTAACCAGAGTCCCATTTTACCCTGCAGTTGCCTCCCGCCCTCCTGTGTGAAGGAGCCTCAGGGTCTCTGGGCTCTGAATGCTTCAGCGGCCAGCAGCTCACCCACCTTCCCCACTGGCCACTCATCTCTGAGTACCAGAATTTTACAGATAGATACCACACCCAATTGCTAGCTCCGCTTCAGTGTCTTAAAATCATCACAAACTTGATGTTTTCAAACCCAGCCTTAATTTTCCCCATCAAAAATATTTCTCTCCTGTCTTCCCAGGGCAGAAAACAGCACTGTGGTCCACCCGGCAGCTCTCACCCCACCCTTACCAGCCACACACCAAACCTATCACAGTCCTGCCTCCATGGGGAAGGTGAGCCAGGCTGCGCTCCCTAGAAGCCTTCATAGTAGTGGAGGAGACAGGATAACACAGTCACACGTGTACTATGAAGGACTGGAATGTGCGATTCTACCTTTCAGAGTAGCAAGAGGTCAGTTACCTGG